AGAACTTATTGAAAAATCCTCATGAAATGTTTTGCAAATTCATGCAATTATTTAAATAAATGTCACTCTGTTTTAAGTCTAAATGGACTATTGATTTCATTATCTTAGACTAATTATTCAGAATAGACAAAGTAATTCCTTATTTGTGTGTGCTTTTTGTTAGAACAAAAATTAGACTACATCAGCAAAACTAGTAATATGGAGACAATTCTATCTAAGAGATGCTAATTATCGCTTAAAGTTCTTGGTTAAGAACGTTAGCTAACATAGTACTTAATCAAGTGCATTGTACTTACCATTGAAGTTCTTGTCTCTCACGTCACATCATACATTACTGCAGGGCAGGAAACCTGTCTTATTCATCTTTGATTCCCAGCTCCTAGCAGATAGTACTTGACAGATAGCAGAAGCTCAATACGTGCTCAACAAATGGGCACTGAAGTCAATTATTTCAAAGGACTAAAATATATTTTCAATGACTTCTTTTCCAGAGTATACATAGAAGTGAAACTGCTCAATCATTTGTTCATTTTCAGTTCTACCTAGAAATTCCACCGGATTGCTCTTTTGCTGATGAATCAACTTTTCAAATCCTCTGCCTATTTTTCTATTAGATTATTTGTCCTCTGTTATCAGTCTTTAGTGTTTTATATATTCTCAATGCTAATCATTTGTTAATTATCTTCGCAAACATTTCCTTCCAATCTGTCACTTGCTTTTTAACCTTGTATCTTTGATCACATACAGTTTACTTTTTAATGCACCCCAAATTGTCAGTATTTTTCTCTTCGGTTTGAGCTTTTCATATTTTAAGAGATCTTTCCCTATTATGAGGTCATAAAGATAGTCTACTATAAACAACTTTTTGAAGAACATGAATACAAGGTTAAAAAGCAAGTGACAGATTGGAAGGAGATGTTTGCAAAGATAATTAACAAATAATTAGCAGTGCCACATCCACCTCCCCTCCCAGTACCCAATGAAGAGGATGTGAAGCCGCCTCCTCCTTTTCTTATTTTTATTTTTATTTTTTGTTAGAGACAGAGTCTCTCTCTGTTGCTCAGGCTGGAGTGCAATGGTGTGATCTCAGCTCACTGCAACCTTCACCTCCTGGATTCAAGCAATTCTTCTGCCTCGGCTCCCTAAGTAGCTGGGACTACAGGTGCCTGCTACCATGCCCAACTAATTTTTTTGTATTTTTAGTAGAGACGGGGTTTCACCATGTTGGCCAGGCTGGTCTTGAACTCGTGACCTCAGGTGATCCACCCTCCTTGGCCTCCCTACTTCCCCCTTTTCTTAAGCCACAAGTGGCTCAAGGTATGTCCCCAGCTAGAGGTCAGAGGTCCGTGGTACCTGAGACCAGGTGTGGAACCAGAGGTAGGAAAGTCTAAATGAGGTACTGCTCAGAGGGCTTCTGCCAAAAGTGTGAGGGCCTTCGTGGCAGATGCCACATGGGCACCATCTCACACCAAAGCTTCAACCTAACAGGGATCAGGGCCAGCCTAAATGCAAGACGAGGGTGACAGAAAGCTACCTTCCCCTTCCCACTGTCAGCCAGAGGAGGCCCAGATGGGGGAGGAGAGAAGCTCAGGTCTGAGTGACATTTGGAGTTTTTGGTTTTGATAGAAAACTGGATATACATTTTTAATTTTAGGGTCTGTTCTTATGATTGAAAGTGATCAGACCAATTAAAAAATGTATATGTTAGAGGATCTAGATATTAACCTCAGTTTATAATAGTTTTATAAACTTATAAAAGTATATGTTTGTAACTATTACAAACTTCATCCAAGGGCAAAGAATGAACCAGACCCACAGTGCAGGCTCGACCAAGCAATGGGCAAAGAACTGTCTCCTGACCACGCCCCCTTCCCACTGTCCAATACATGAGCTTTGCCACCAACAATGTCTCTTGACCACGCCCCATTCCCACTGTCCAATACACCACCTCTGCAGCCAGGAACATTGTCTTCTGACCATGCCCTGTTCCCATTGTCCCATATACTGGCTTTGTCGCCAGCATTCCAGTGGAGTCGCAGCATGGACACACCACCTTCGTGAGAGTTCAACGTTACAGGGCTAGAGTTACATGGTACATATTTATGAATATGTAAGTCATTGCCTTCACATATTTAGATATAACAGAGCATGGTTTTTAGACATTAAAACATATTTATACATCTATGTTCACAGCAACGTAATTCACAAGAGCCAAAGGTGGAAACAAGTCAAATGTCCAATGAAGGATGAGTGGATAAACAAAGTATGGTCTATCCACATGATGGAATATTATTCAGCCTTAAAAGGAAGAGAATTCTGACGCTCGCTACAACATGGATGAACCTTGAAGACATTATGCTAAGTGAAATGAGTCAGTCACAGAAGAACAAATACTGCATGATTCCACTCACATGCGGTATTCAGGAATCAACTTCACCGAGACAGGAAGTAGAAGGGTACTGCCAGGAGCTGCGGGCAGGGGAATGAGGAATATTTAATGGGCACAGGACTTTGGTTCTAGAGCTTGGCTGCACAACAATGTGGGCGGACTTCACTACTGAATGTACGCTCAAAAATGGTGAAAATGGTAACTTTTATGTCATGTGTATTTTATAACAACTATAAACAAAATCATTTCAAATAAAAAAAAAAGATCTAGAGAAAAAAGAAAATGTGACCTCTATCAGTAATGTATTAATAGTTGGGGCAACAATGACAACCAGGGGTGGCTAAGAGGAATCGAGTCTTACCAAGCATCAAGCGCCAGGACTCCACCTGACCTGTATGATCTCACTGATACTTTTCAAACCTACCAAGTCCTTTCGAGAGGGAAGCCCTATCCAAAGCCCTATTTTACAGGTAAGGAAGCCAAGGAAGAGAAGGGTTAATGTGCCCAATGTTATCTGTGACTTGCAAGCAGTTGAGGGAAAACCTGACTTTAGGGCTTGTCCTTTGAACCATCTGGCAATGGACAGATTCCATCCTCATGAAAAATTCCCCTACTCACAGCATCGTGGACTAGACGGGATCATAGAAGGAATTAGCACAAGTGCTGACCTGTGTATAGCTCATGTTTTATGAAGCACTTTCTCACTTGATCCTACTCATTAAAATACTGCAAGTCACACAGATATTCTCTCTTTATTAAATTAAAAATTGAGCCCTAGAGAAATCAAAACACACTACCAGTCAGGGCTCCAATTCCACAGCTTCTACCTCTGAGTGCATGGCTATCCACATCCAACTCCTCATCTGGTCCAACTTCTCACTTTTCAGATGAGATTATCTACAAGGGACACACCCAGAGAGGCTAATGGCTTCTTCAAGGTCACACAGACAGCCCGTTTATTTTGCATCCATCATCAGTTTATATCTCGAAAAATATTCTGCCATGATAACATGTACTTTATAAATATGTGTTTGACAAAATAAGAACTGGTACACGCAGAGATCTCTGTCAGCATAAAATAGAGTGCTTCCTTCTAGAAGCGACTTTATTTGCAGAGCTGATGCATCAGAACCACCACTTCACTTAAGCACCCAATTTTCTGATGCCCGCCCTCACCCAGCCTCCTGGTCCATTAGTTCTTCAATTAGGCAGCGATCAATTGAGCACATTCACTTAGACAGCACGGCTAGCCGCTCTTGCAGTGGACTTGCTATCGAAGCAGCAAAGTACATGAGAGCTGCAGAATACAGATCGTGGAGGAATGGAACTCCGTCAAGCCTCATCTGATCCTGACTGCCTGTCCACAAGGAATTCTTAAGAGTCTCAATAACCCTGAATGAAATGTGTGATGTCTGAGCCTAAAATGCAGTGCTAAGTTCTTTTGTCCAGCACACTCTTTTCTAACAAAATAACTCTTTGGGGTTTGAACCGAGGCTGATGATAAGAGTGAAAGAAGAGATTGCTATCCCTGATTATAAGCATTCATATGGTTAATGGGAATTCTGTTAGCATGAGAAACCTGCCAATGTAATTCCTCATAAGTCAAATTAAGGGACTCTTCCACGAATGCCTGTTTTGGTTCTGTCTTTGTTTTCTTGCTGCCTTAATATAATGGGTGGAACTAGGGCTGGCACTGACTAAGTATCTAAAAGAGTTGCCCCTTGTTTCTAGCTGGAACATGCAAGAAAAGCCAAAGAAGAACAGGTTCTACAAAGAGCTCGACAGCAGCAAAAGTTGTACAGTCCTACCAATGACTGTTTCTCAGTCTACTGGTTGGATATCTCTCCTACATTAGCTCGCAAAAAACAAGGAGAAACTGTATATGGAAATAAACCTGGGGCTTCAAGTTATCAGTACTACGTAGTAAGGGTAGTAATGGCTGACAGTCAATGAGCACTTTCTCTTATTCAATTATCATTAGACAGTATGCTCCACAAGTGCAGCGACTAAGGCTGGTTGTTCTAATTTTTATTTATTCACAGAGGCAGGATCTTGCTATGCTGCCCAGGCTGGACATGAACTCCTGGGCTCCAGCGATCCTCCTGCCTCAGCTTCCTTAGTAGCTGGGATTACAGGCATGTGTCACTGCGCCTATCTGTTTTGCTCCCCACTGGATCTCTAGCTCTGAGGAGCATGCTTTCTAAGTGGTATGCTCTCAAAAAACATTTGCTGAATGACTAAAATATCTCATTTAGTTTTCATAAAAAGCCTAAAGCGTTTGATACATTTACTTTTATTATAATTTTACACACCAGAAAACCAAAGCTCAGTAGTAATTCAAATGTGTTCAACGTCACTCAGTTTGCAAGAGTCAGAGTTTATACTCAAACCCATATGCGCCTGATACCAGAATCTACGATTCAAGCACAAGCAGAATTTCACGAGTACAGACCAGACCTTAGTGCTTTTCCATTACTGAGACCATGTATGAAAGAGGGGGCCTGAAAGAATAGATTTCATGTCAGTATAGATATCACTCCAATCCAGTCAGCATCCTTAAGATTTCTTCAATATCCAACAACAACAACTAAATTTAAAAGAAATAACTTACCTACAAAGCCTTCTTCACCAACCAGCTTCAGGGCAATTTTATCAGCCAACACTGAAGAGTTGCCATGAGCAATGTTTGCAAACGGGCCCGCATGCACGAATACAGGTGTCCCCTAGAGAAATGGAAGAGCAAATCAAAATCCCAAAAGACAAATGGAAGCATGGAAACCAAGGTCAATTTGGGGCAAACAAGGTGGGAAAGCTTTTATGAACACTGCATATTGAAGGCATAAATCATTCAAAGACAGTCAAAACACCCTGACTCAATCGAAGAACCAAATTCCCTACAGATTCTAGAAAAATGCTATTCTACATTCAATTCTGAACCTGAGAGACAAAACTGTGAGAATACAGTCATTTCCTTCCAAAATACTGTTAAGCCATTTTGTTAGATGTCTCAATGGCCATGAAATACATTATTTACCTTATTTTATGTTATCGGGCACTATATTTTTAAAAACAATGGAATTAAACCCTGATGGTATAAGAGCTGTATTTATTTATTTTTTTAATCAAGAAAAGATTCCATTCAAGAAAAGGTAACCATAAAAATCAACATAATTGGCCAGGCGAGGTGGCTCACACCTGTAATCCCAGCACTTTGGGAGGCCAAGATGGGCGGATCACCTGAGGTCAGGAGTTCAAGACCAGCATGGCCAACATGGTGAAACCCCGTGTATACTAAAAATACAAAAGTCAGCCAGGTTTGGTAGCACATGCCTGTAATACCGGCTACTCAGGAGGCTGAGGCAGGAGAATTGCTTGAACCTGGGAGGTGGAGGTTGCAGTGAGCTGAGATTATGTGGGAGTCGTGGCAAGCTAGTCACAGAATAATTACATTTATAGGCTGTTTATATTTTAATAATAAGGGTCCTTTTGATTTTTAAAAGTTCCATTTAAGTCTTTCTTGTTTACTTGTCTTACATGTTAGAAATCTGTTAAATGCCCAGGTGCAGTGGCTCGCGCCTATAATCCTAGAACTTTGGGAGGATGAGGCAGGTGGATCATCTGAGGTCAGGAGTTTGAGACCAAGACCAGCCTAGCCAGCATGACAAAACCCCGTCTCTACTAAAAATACAAAAATTAGCCCTGCGTGGTGGAACGCACCTATAATCCCAGCTACTCAGGAGGCTGGGGAAGGAGAATCACTTGAACCTGGGAGATGGAGGTGTGCAGTGAGATCACAGCACTGCACTCCAGCCTGTACGACAGGAGACTCCATCTCAAACAAAAGGAAATCTGCTAACTCTTAAGATAACAGAAGCAAAAACAAATAAAAAGAAAAAAAGATAACAAAAGCAAAGAAAAATTTCCCTCATAGTAAATGCTACTATAATTCACATTAATGAAAAGGACAAAATAAACTAATTTAAGAGAATCATCAAAAATTTTAGAGTTTAGTTATTTGAACAAAATCTGTCTATATCCATTTTTAATGCCATTTCTGCACTTTTTCCTTTCCAGATACACTTTACCCCTATCTAAAAAGAATTCATCTGCAGGCATTAAAATGGTGTGGTGTTATTCATATCCTAGCCAGGGCCACTGGGGTCTGTGCATATGAAGCCTTGGCTCCACCTATGAAAACACAGGCTGCCCTTTCACTGACATGGAGGAAGGCAGGGAGTAGGGGTCGGCGTGGGGGGACTGTGAGCCACAGAAAATTCCCATGAAGCATGACGGGCTGTTAGCCAACCACATTTCAAAGATGAGAAGGTGAACAAAACAGGAAGAAGAGAAGTGAAAGAAAACTCATGAGAATGAAAAAGGGAGAGTATAATCAAAACCGCCATGTGAGTTCTCTGTTTACCTTTCTTCTTTTTTCTTTTTTAAGGGACTTAAAAGCTATTATTCCACTCTATTTACCTTTCTCCCAAAAGTCCTCAGGAGGGAGAACATAGGGCCCTGATCGGGTCACACAGATGTATATGGAAATGAACCCAGGACTATAAAACCCAGGGAACTGAGGCTGGGTGTGAGGGTTCACGCCTGTAATCTCAGCACTTTGGGAGGCCGAGGCAGGTGGATCGCCTGAGGTCAGGAGTTCGAGACCAGCCTGGCCAACATAGTGAAACACATACTAAAAATATAAAAATTAACAGGGAGTGGTGGTGTGCTCCTGAAATCCCAGCTCAGCTACTCGGGAGGCTGAAGCACAAGATCCACTTGAACCTGGGAGGTGGAGGTTGCAGTGAGCTGGGACCATGCCACTGTACTCTAGTCTGGGTGACAGATCACCACTCCAACTCAAAAATAAATAAATAAAACCCAGGGACACATATTTACAGATACATAAATATGTATGTTTGGTGTTTACATCTGTCTTTTCTCACTTCTATCTAGATAAACCTTTTAAGTGTTCTGAAGAAAACAGATTTTAAAAAGCTTATGTCTTTAACACCTCCTAACCTTGCTGGTCTTCTGATGTCCTTGCCCATAGTAAGCTAGTGGAGCTGATCAAAGCTTAACGAGGACAAGGTCACAGGCTCCATCCTGGATGGGCAGCTGGCTTTGCTCAGCTGCAGGCTGCCATCTGTTTGAGAAGCACCCAACACAGGTCTCCAGGGGGCACAGGCGGTGGGGGCACATTGCTATTCCTGGGACAACCACTCCAAACGGCTACAAGGTCCTCAGCAACATTTACTTTAGAAAAGCAAAGGACTTTTATCCTTTGTAGACAATCTAGCATTTTTCAGGATACTAAACCTATTAGCAAAAGCATTTTTTATTTTTAATTGATGAATAATAATTGTATCTATTTATGGAGAACAAGGTACTGATCTAATATATGTATACACTGTGGAATGATTATATCAAGCTAGCCAACATATCCATCACCTCACAGATTTATCATTCTTTCTAGAGAGAACATTTAAAATCTAATCTTTTAACATTTAAAAAGTATATAACACCTTCTTTTTTTTTTGAGATAGAGTCTTACTCTGTCACCCAGGCTGGAGTGCAGTGCTACCATTTCATGCCACTGCAACCTCCGCCTCCTGAATTCTAACGATTCTCCTGCCTCAGCCTCCCTAGTAGCTGGAACTACATGTGCACAACACCATACCCAGTTAATTTTTGTATTTTTACCAGAGACAGGGTTTCGCCATGTTGGCCAGGCTGTTCTCAAACTCCTGACCTCAGGTGATCCACCTACCTCAGCCTCCCAAAGTGTCAGGGGTGAACCACAGCACCCAGCAACAATATGCTTTTATTATCCACAGTCACCTTTCTGTGTAATAGATAATGAAGACTTATTCCTCCTGTCTAACTGGAATTTTGTATTATTTAGTCAACTTCTCCAATCCTCCTCCACCTTTGATAACCACTGTTCTACTCTTCACTTTGCAAAAACACTTTATATATTTGTATAAATGTAGCTTTAGCTAGAAATTACAGAATCAGATCATGCTGACAGCATGAAGAAAGAGGCCAACTTCTTCATGCAGAAAGTTAAGGCCCAGAGAGGGCTAAGGCAATTCTTTAAGGCCACAAAGGAAACTAATAACTAAGCCAAGATTAGGGCTCTGGTTTTAAAACTCCCAGTATGGAATTGGAGAGAAAAAAATATTGGAACGTCATTGTTAGACTTCCAGATACAGGCACACAGATACTTGCACACTCAAAGATGCAGATGGCTATAATATACAGTACATCTCCAGGTGAGGTGGGTGGCTCACACCTGTAATCCCAGCACTTTGGGAAGCCAAGATGGGCAGATCACGAGGTTAGGAGATCATCCTGGCTAACACAGTGAAACCCTGTCTCTACCAAAAATAAAAAAAATTAGCTAGGCATGGTGGCATGCACCTGTAATCCCAGTTGCTCAGGAGGCTGAGGCAGGAGAATTACTTGAACCCGGGAGGTGGAGGTTGCAGTGAGCCAAGAATACGCCACTGCACTCCAGCCTGGGCGACAGAGTGAGGCTCTGCCTCATTAAAAAAAAAAAAAAAAAAAAAATACAGTACATCAAATTAAACATGTTGCTTAAAAAAATCCTATGACCGAGAACGATCCAAGATGGCCGATCGCTAACATCCCGGGATTGCAGCTCTCAGGGAAGGCGCGGAGAACTCGAGGACGCCACACTTTCAGACAAAGTCTGGTCGCTCACAGAGCAGAAGATCCCCCAGTGGTGGAAACACTCGAGTCGCCAGCGCGACTCTCGTGGTCGGAGCAGCGGTTCCGCGGGCACCTCGATGCGGCAGCGCTCGGCGCAGAGTAAACTGGACCCGTTCCCCTTCTGACCGAGGTTTGGAGCCCCGGGAAGGCAGAGTCGCCTACTACGGACACAAGAAGGAAGCCCGACAGGAGAATCCTGGGCAGAAAAGCACCATCAGTTTTAACGCCTCTGCTCTGGCCGTGGGAACTAACAACCTGGACGTCCACTCAAGAGACCTAATCTGAAGGTTGGTGATTTCAAAGACGACAGGAGGATAAATTTACAATGACGGGAAGAAACCAGCATAAAAAAGCTGAGAATACTCAAAGTCAGAACGCCTCTCCCTCTAAAGATGATCACAGTTCCACATCAACAATGGAACAGGGCTTGATGGAGAACGAGCGCCTCCTGATGACACAATCACTCTTCAAGGAATGGATAATGACAAACCGGTGAGTTAAAAGAACATGTTGTAGCCCAACATAAAGAAACTAGGAGCTTTGAAAAAAGGTTTGATGAAATCCTATTGAGAGTGGACAACTTAGAGAGGAGTATGAGTGAATTAATGGAACTGAGGGGTACAATACAGGAACTCCGAGAAGTGTGCGCAGGTTTAGACACTGGAATTGTTCAAGCAGAGGAGGGGATATCAGAGGTCGAGGTCCAACTTAATGAAATAAAACGTGAAGAAAAGATTAAAGGAGGGATGGGGGGGGGGTGAGCAGGGTCTCCGAGAAGTGTGGGACTATGTGAAGGGACCGAATTTGCGTTTGGTGGGTGTACCTGGGTGCGACGGAGGGAGTGAATCCAAGCTGGAGAGTACCCTTCAGGATATTGTTCAGGAAAATTTTCCTGAACTGGCAAGGCAGGTCAACGTTCAACCCCAGGTAGTGCAGAGAGCACCACAGGGATGTTCCTCGGGAAGAGCAACCCCAGGGCGCATGGTCGTTG